GAAGAACATAAGAACGAGAGAGAGCTGTTAGTTACTGCTAGTTTTTTGGGTTAAGAAACGCTTTCCAGCAGTGCCGCCCAGGTCTGCACTAAAATATACACCGATATACAGAAAAACATTTGAAAAAATAACCTTAGGAAATACAATAAGTAGAAAAGAGGCTTTCTAGCACTGCTGGTAAAATCCCCATGTGAGAAAGGGACGCATAGTCACATCTACACAAAAGAACTGGTCAGGTTTTTCATATTACCCCAAAATTTCTGATGAGGAAATTGCAGCATTATTGCATCAGCACTGACCGTCAGATGGCCGGTCATTTGCCAGTAAGATTTCTTGTAGGGACATCAGTAGTATAAATATTAGGTGCAATCCCATATACCTCCGACTCGGACTAGTAAAACTGTCAAAAAATAAAAATTCGCTCAGAGCGAGAGAGTAACACTGAAAACTACGGGATCGCTTTCTAGTAAAAAATGGTAACTTCTGTCAATTTCAACATAACCTCCAAATTTTGCTTGTACATTTTTGCTCACTTTGTATGTAAACACACTCAGCTCATACATGTAAATAACCGAAAATACTTTCTAATTCCTTAGAATCGACTTAAACAAGTAACTAAATACTTTTCAACATGAATTAGCATAGCGCACTTTTCGTTTGTTTACAAGCTGATCGTTTGACACATTTACCAGAATTTACCAGCAAAAAATTCTCGGACTAAAACTGGTAACTTCTGACAGAGAGAGAACCGTATTTACTCTCATTTTTGTCTTCTCAATAGTCAGAGAACCGAGTACGGGATCGATTTCCAGTAAAATTTGACTGATTCTGACTATTTCTGACTAGTCCGGACTCGTACGGGATCGCAACTATTAAGATTTTTGTATTGCAATCGATAGTACATCGATTGTTCTTTACTATTCGTCCATTTTTAACGTTTGTTCGTTAGCCACACAGCAATAATTAATTTATCAATTTTAACTTTACGTAATTCCTGTATCTAGTACCTCCAACAGATTATTTTGGGTTAATTATTATTGCAATCGATAGTTCGTTATAATTAATTTTTGCCATTTTAAAATTCCTGCATTTCATCTCAGATGTAAGAACTTCATTATTTTCGTTTGCTAGCTGTGATAAATCGTTAATAAAGCCGTCAATAAATTCATCACTCAATGGCTGCGTTTCTTTATACATTCCGGATAATCCCATTTCACAGCCGGAATAAACAGAATGCGTTTGAAATATACGTTAACATATCATCAGGAACATTCTAAAGAATAAGTAAACAAAAAAGTTTATTCCAAACGTTCAGTATTAATAAAGAATTGCAGCCAATGATTTTTTATTAACGGTATGGGTTATGGACCCAGCCGACGTTACAGCGTGTTTACATTAGACAATGCTGTCAAGACAATAAAGAAATACATATTAGTTGTCAAAAACACTGATAATCGTCTCCGTGGCGTAGGCGCTCTGACAATAGTTATAACAATTCATTTTGACACACATTTCGCGCGAGCTATTTAAATTAAAAAATAACAAACTTACATATACAACAACGTCTTTTCAGTTATTTTAATTTTTTTTGTTATACATTTCTCTTCATTCTTACACAAGTCGTCAAAACTAGTGTCTGCAATATTTGTTTTTGAAAAAAAAAAAATTAATTTTGAGGACTTATATAAACTCGATAACATCCTCGAATTTCGTCCTTCTAACATTATCAGCTTAAAAGATTGCATATTCGTCCTTGTGAATCCAAAATTTAAATTTTTTAAATTCTAAAGAATTTTCTTCTTTCAATTTGTACCCATACTTTTATTCTATATACATTACATTGGTTTTTCTAAATAATTTTTGAATTAATCACATCTTTGAAATTAAAAAGTCCTTTAATATAAATTTTGACGTCAGAGAGAAAAAATAAAAACGCCACTTTAAATAAAACAGTAGGTTCCAAACCCATTTATTTATTATTTATTTTATGGTAGGAGAGCTTCTCAAATAATATAGAAGCAATTTTAAAATGCCGAATTGGAACTTAGTTTCGCAAATTGGTCATTTCTATCAGTTATAGTTTATAAATAAAAGAGGCTGATGCTTTGCAATATATAAAAAGTGGATGAAGTGCGGATTTTTGTCCGTTTACTGATTCCATTTTTGGATACTTTGACGGTCGGTTTTCCCACTAAAGTGTGCGGCAGAAACGCATGTACATACAACTACCGAAAATTGTTTGTGAAACGGATACGTTTTCGGCTGTTTTTTATGAAATTTGTCTGATTGAATTTTTCGTTCAATACGCTTTCCTTCTGCATTACAAAGATACTTTTTCATGGTTCAAAAGAAATAAAATAAAATTAGGAACCGCCTGACGGCATTCGAACCCGGCACCTTCTGGAAGCTAACAAATAGCGGCACACTCCTCTGCACACTCTGCACACTCAGCCCAGTGTTGCCAGTATCTGGGTTAATAAAATCCCGTCTCAATAGAACCTAAATCCCGTTTTATACTAAAGATATTACAGAAATCCCGCGATGTATGTATCTATTATTTATAAAATGTTTTCGGATGAAAAATACAAGTATGTATGTACATTAGGGTGCTTCTTTTCGCGAATATTGTTTATTTCACTCCTACCTCGAAATGTTGAGGAAAACACCTAAAAAACCTCCATGAAAATTTGAAACCTCAATATTAACATTAAGTACTCGCCCAAGGCGTGCAAAGATTTCCCATATAAAATACACGTAAACTTTGATTTTTTCAAAACTCTACAGCTCTGCGGCATTTTATGGTATAATCTTCGTCAATGATGGGTTTTCTTCAGAATTGAATGCTCTACATAAGTGTCCATTGCAGCGTAATCCTTACTCCCACCAGCGAAGTACTACGGGTCACTAAACTCAATTTTTCGTGAAATTCTCGTGCATTTAATTTCCTACGAAAAAAAATCTATGAAACCAAATCGCTGCCATCGATATTTCTTGGGATATTGGACTTTGAAGTTGATCAACAAATTCTAAAATTTAGCTCAATACTCCGTGAAAATTTCACACTACCTCAACTTCAAAGCTTAATATATCAAGAAATATCGATATTGGCGATTTGGTGTTCTGAAAGTTTTTGTGTAGGAAATTGAATGTCCTACAAGTTTGTCGTTTACATTTTTTTCTGCAGCTCTTATTATTTACGAGATATGGGCAAAAAAACGAGAATTTCACAAAAAAATTGGGTTTAGTGACCCGTACTACCTCACTGGTGGGAGTAAGGATTACGCCGCAATGGAAACTTTTGTAGAGCGTTTAATTCTGAAGAAAACCAATTATTGACCAAGATTACACCATAAAATGCTTCTGATACTTCAAAGCCCAATGTCTCAAGAAATATCGATGTTGGCGATTTGGTGTTGTAAAAGTTTTTTGTAGGAAATTGAATGTCCTACAAGCTAGTCGTTTACATTTTTTCTGCAGCTCTTGTTATTTACGAGATAGGGGCAAAAAAATAAGAATTTCATAAAAAAATGGGTTTAGTGACACGTACTACCTCGCTCGTGGGAGTGAGGATTACGACGTAATGTAAACTTTTGTAGAGCACTCAATTCTGAAGAAAATCCATCATTGACCAAGATCATAGCATAAATTGCTTCTGAGCTGTAGAGTTTTGAAAAAAAAATCAAAGTTTACGTATATTTTATATCGGAAATCTTTACACGCCTTGGACGACTACTTAATGTTAATATTAAGAGATAAGATTTTCAGGGGGTTTTTTTTAATGTATTTTCCACAAAATTTCGAGGTAGGAGTGAAAAAAGCAATGGTCGCCAAACAAAGCTACCTAATGTACATAGACATGCATGCATAGACATACATAGGATTTATATACATTAGGGCCGGTCAATCTTTTTTGACTATGTGCATATAGCATAAGAGAATTCTACTTGTAATCCGACGCAACTTTGCCGAAGAAACCATCGGTCTAAAATTAATTAGGAGTTTGCCATATTGCGAAAATGGGCAGAGAAGAAAATGTGGAAATTTTTACTGTTGTGCCCTCTGGAGGAAGTTTTAAGAAAGAGAGAAGGTCAGAAATGGATTCCTCATACCAAAAAACCGCTACAGCATGTTTTTGTACAAAATGTAAGCAATTCTTTACGATACTTCATCAAAGTGCTTTTTTCACAGTTTGGCAAATTCCAAATTGATTTTAGAGCCATGATTTCTTCGGCAAAGTTGCTTAGAATTATACGTATGTATGTGCAATAAGCGCATAGTTGAAAAAATCTCCCATACAAATTTACACAAGCAGCCTTTTCATTCGTTTTCGCGTTTAAATGGATCAGATGGTTGACATTTCATTCGCTAATCTTTGTTTAAACCAGCCAGCTCGGGCGTTTAAACTATGTTTAAGCCACAGCTGTGCAGAAAAACTGGCCCTAGGTCGCACAATTAGGTTGTTTGTTAAGTAAATTTTTCCCTTAGGGCCGGTTGCTCAAAGCCTGATTAACACTAATCTAACCGATGATTCGTTATCGACGTTTTCGACTCCATATAACACGCAATAAATAAAAATCAATCGAAATGGTTTTGAATGAAATTTATTTTTTAATTACATTTGGGAAGGTTGCCACCTGTTTGAAAAGTCGAATTTAGTTAAAGAGGTGTTGTACTTCAAATACTATGCAACAATTAAAATATTTTTGAGGTGCTTGAAGAGAGTGGCCACCTGTTTAAAAAGATAAACTCAAATTACACTGTGCGACAGCCGGAACCTGCCCGG